AGTGCAGAGACTGAAAAGGAAGCAATCTGAAAAGTCGCACCCAAGTCAAAAGTAAAAAAAAAGTACAACTATATATACAACAAAAAAAAAGAAAAGTTACATGATTTCTTAATAATCATTGCTTTATGTGTGCAATCTGAAGATCCAGCACAGATATACAAACTGTTTGGAATTCGGCTGATAAATAATACATTGTATGAGGAGTCGACAGATTATTCCAGCTGCGCAAATGCAGCAATCTATCTATCGACAGCTGTTTTTTAAATCAATAACCTTTAACTCGAAAGATTTGAATAATTCCTCTGTTTGTTAATGTTTCACATTTGTTTCCATAGTATTGGTCCCTGGTCATTTCGCTCTTTGTTCTCATGGTGTTACATTTTGGCCTTTTTTTTTTTTTTTTTTTTTTTTTTTTTTTTTTTTTTTTTTTTTTTTTTTTATTTTTTTTTTTTTTTCTTTGTTTTTTTTTTTTTTTTTTTTTTTTTTTTTTTCTTTTTTTTTTTTTGTATTCAAGCTTTGTTAGCTGAAATTGTTGAATGGAAGGCATTCTCTTAATCTCTTATACGCGATAAACCTCCGGAATTCTGTTTTTAAAAATGAAGACTTTCTTCATTCTAGCTTTGGTAGATAGAACTCTTAGGTTTCGGACTTGCATATATTTATATACTGGGGAGGTGGAAACCACTCCCCTCCCTGGAAAGATAACCCTATTTAATGTGCATTATTGTAAGAGTTATCGCATATCTCGGCTACTTAAAATCGCCAGTCTTTAGAAATGAAGGGTGTGGGAGTGATAGCGTATATATGCGTATGTCTGTTAAATGAGGCAGTCAGATGTTATGCAAAAAAATGCTTTGTTTAGTCTCAAACATCAGAATGCTCACTCTTGCAATTTGCATCTTTGAATTATCTTTCATACACCACACTCCATACAGAATCAAATCGCAATAGGTTTTCTTTCGTCACTGTAAAAAAAAAAATCAATTTCGATAATATTCATACACGTAATATTTTAAACCTCATTCCTCTCAACATTTTTAGTCCTTTAATATCGCTCCATTTTAGTAAGGGCGGTAACGTCTGTTCAGAGCGATTTCGGAACCACTTGCGACGCACGCTGAGAATACGCTTCTCGTGTCATTAGAATAATTGGGTCTTTACATTGCCTCACTGGCTTCATGCGACTACAGACAAAAGACTTTAGCGTCTGCACGAGAGGGTTCAAATTTTGTTGAAAATATTTTTAGCTTGTCTGGCGATAGTTAATGAATCAATCGATTTCCCGCACGCTATTTGTCCAGCTATTGAAATGAGCTCTTCGGTTTCCCGGAGTATTTGCATAGAGTTTTTTTTCCTCCCCATTATAAGGTGAAAATATTGAATTATTAATTCTCGTTACGCATGACTTACCCATAGGAAATGCCATTGTAATGTCAAAACAGCGAGGTGCCTTTTTTTTTGTTACAGCGTATCTCGTTGTCAAACCCCATATGGTATTTGAAATTACCACATATCTCGTTGTCAAACCCCATATGGTATTTGAAATTAACGCATATCTCGTTGTCAAACCCCATATGGTATTTGGAAGTACCGCATATCTCGTTGTCAAACCCCATATGGTATTTGAAATTACCGCATATCTCGTTGTCAAACCCCATATGGTATTTGGAATTACCGCATATCTCGTTGTCAAACCCCATATGGTATTTGAAATTACCGCATATCTCGTTGTCAAACCACATATGGTATTTGGAATTACCGCATATCTCTTTGTCAAACCGCATATGGTATTTGAAATTAACCGCATATCTCGTTGTCAAACCGCATATGGTATTTGGAATTACCGCATATCTCGTTGTCAAACCCCATATGGTATTTGGAATTACCGCATATCTCTTTGTCAAACCACATATGGTATTTGAAATTACCGCATATCTCGTTGTCAAACCGCGTATGGTATTTGGAATTACCGCATATCTCTTTGTCAAACCGCATATGGTATTTGAAATTACCGCATATCTCGTTGTCAAACCACATATGGTATTTGGAATTACCGCATATCTCTTTGTCAAACCGCATATGGTATTTGAAATTAACCGCATATCTCTTTGTCAAACCGCATATGGTATTTGTAATTACCTCATATCTCGTTGTCAAACCGCATATGGTATTTGGAATTACCGCATATCTCTTTGTCAAACCGCATATGGTATTTGAAATTACCGCATATCTCGTTGTCAAACCGCATATGGTATTTGGAATTACCGCACATCTCTTTGTCAAACCGCGAATGATATTTGAAACTACCGCATATCTCGGTGTCAAACCACAGATGGTATTTGAAACTCGAAACTTAAACGAATCAAAATTACAATTATGACATTCTTAACTTTTTTTTTTTAAACATTTGTTATCTCCCATAACAAAAAAAAACAACATTCATTTCGAGCCAAATTTAAATCCTTTAGTGATCAACAGTTCAACCGTCTCCCATGATCAAAGTCACCAACTGACTCCTAAACAACTTGTCATAATCCACTAAAACCACTACAGGGAATAGTCAGTTCGAACCGGGCCGTAACAAACAGGCGAGCTCAAAAAAACGTTGAACTATTCAATGTTTTAAGGTATTCCACCTTTTGAAAGCATGGATTTACACGGTGTGAGTCTCTACAAGCAACTTGGGCGCGCGGCCACTGGGCCTGACTGCGATATTAATTGATGTGCGCCAACATCCTTTTAGATAGTAAAATCGCCACCAAAAGATACACTTTTTTTTTTTTATAATTATATTTCCTCTTATTTATTTATTATTTTTTTAATCATTCTTTCTATTAATAACCGATTTACGCCAGTAGATGTTCAAATTTAAGTCGAAAGGATGTTCTTAAAAAACGTGTTTTTCGATGAAGTTTTAACAATAACATTTTAACCGATTCCTAAACTTGATACATTTAACAACCTTTTTTGACAGTCATGTTTGATAGAGGAATCTCCAAGTATCAATCCCAACTTCGTCACTCATTTTTTCCCTACTTCAAGTACTAGCTTGGTGTAAACTGGGGGGGGGGGGAAGGGGGGGGGGTGTTTGTGGTTTATTTTTAGAGGAAAATTCACACCGTCCTAGATCCATTGGATGTTTAAGAATTTGAATTTTCCAAACGCGCCCCCCCCCCCCCTTAAAGCAGTTGCGGCACTTACAAGCCAATCTTCGGCGGTTCTTCAAGCTGAGATATCTTGAGACGGGACGAGGCAATGATTCGAAAAAAACTCACTTCCTCGTGGAGCGGGGTGTCAGTCGGCGGGAAGTATAAGCTCTGCTCTTCCTTGTCAAATTGTCAATTATTGTTGGCTCGGGCCGGGCTCGAGAGAAAAGCCAAACAAACTGTCAGTTATAAATTTCATTTCACTACAGCTTTATCTGATTTTGGGCCAACTCCGGGGGTCTTTTCACTCGAGGTGACGTCACTACCGCTCGTCTTCCTTCTGGTGCGTCTTCGCATGTGGACATCTCTGAATGTCGGTCTCTTCTATTTGTTGATTCCTAACCCCCACCCCACCCCTCTCAGCATCCTACCTCCCCAGCCAAACCTTTAAGCCCCCATTCTCCACCCCGTACATCTCCAGTGATAATTCTAATGTAATTTCCTTTTTTTTTTTCTCTTTCCTACTTTCCAGGCCTGAGTGAGACGCAGTGACAGTATCGATTGAGTGTGTGCGTCGAGGCAAGCTACAAATACATCGCAGTAACAAATCTCCTATTCGTCAAAAAAAAAAAAAAAAATGGCCATAGGAACACCAACTTCCTACTTTCCAGGCCTGAGGGAGACGCAGTGACAGTATCGATTGAGTGTGTGCGTCGAGGCAAGCTACAAATACATCGCAGTAACAAATCTCCTATTCGTCAAAAAAAAAAAAAAGAAAATGGCCATAGGAACACCAACGTTTCGTCTCTATGAGTTCGGCGGTGACACAACTGCGAGACTTGGACAACGGTCACCCAAATAAATTTCCACTACGTTAGTGGTACGAATACACTATCTTAACACCCGAAACAGGAAATATGTAAATTAATGGAGCGTAGGTTCGTCTGAGAGGCAATCCCCGGTATGGAAAGAGGACAGATGTACTAACAAGGGTGTACCTGTTTGGCATTGATTGGAGGGAGAAAAAAAATATATTGTTGTTATGAAAGTCGTAAGTAACTTGAGACGAACATGTGAAACCCGACCACACACAGTGGTGACGCACTGGGAGACGATTACAGGGGTTGTGTTCACGGGTAAACTTGGCGCAGATACCCAGGCGCGCAATATTCGCCACGTTACACAATAATGACGTACCACTTCAAGCAGTCAGGTCAACGCCAAGGATTTGTCACAGGTGTTGACATACCAGTATGTCAGGCTGGGAGGCTTGTTTTTCGAGCGTAGCATTAGAAGAATTTGGGAGACTTTTCACGCAGGCCAGTGGCACGGGGCGCGTAAATCGAATTAACACACACCCGACGCTACGCTGCGATGGATATGGTTTCAAGGGGACGGGAAGTCATTGGACTCTGCATCTTCAGGCTTGACTTAAGAATCCCTAGTTCTTCAGGTTGTCACCATCCATTAAGGTGATACAGTTTCGATTTCGTCTAAGTGAAAGCGGCAACATTACACACACAAAAAACTGTTAATACGTTTTTAATTAATGGCTTTGCTGGCAGAGAGATAGAGCGAGAGAGAGAGAGAGAGACCGACAAATTATATAGTGGTTTGATCAGATTCAAGAAATTTAGCATGTCATAGTCACGAGAGTCTTCCTGTAACATGTCAACGTTCGATAACTCGTGGGTGACGCCCTCCGACTACTCCAAGCCCGACCTGGTCATCTTCACCTACACCAACGAGTCAGCTTTCGTGGACTCGAATGCCACCTCTTCATCGACGTGGGGCAACGAGTCGTCGTCCGAATCCACGCCCTTCGCTTCATCGTGGTGGTGGTCTCATTACCCGAGCGGCTATTCCTGGCCGCACATCATCTTCGGCGCGATCATAATCACCATCATCATCCTGATGATAATCATCGGAAATTTCCTGGTCATCTGGGCCATCCTACACGACCGCACGTTGAAAACCACGCAGAACCTCTTCATCATGTCCCTCGCGTTCGCCGATTTCTTCCTCGGTCTGATCGTCATCCCATTCTCCCTGACCTACGAGCTTCTCGGATACTGGCTTTTTGGTGTGATATGGTGCGAGCTGTACAAAGCCATCGACGTATTGCTCTGCACGGCCTCCATTATGTCCCTGTGCTTGATATCCCTTGACAGGTACTGGTCCATAACGAGGGCCGTCCATTACGCCCGCCAGCGTACACGGAAACGGGCGGCAATAATGATCTTCACGGTGTGGTTCATCTCCGCTGTGGTGAGCATCCCCCCACTCATCGGCTGGAAGCAGCCCGCCCGCGAGTCTAGGTGGGCCTTGTGTAACCTGAGCGAGGACATCGGCTACGTGGTGTACTCGGCCTTCGGCTCGTTCTTCATACCCGCGTTCATCATGGTTTTTGTTTACTTTAAAATCTACCAGGCAGCGAAGGAGCGCGCGAGAAAGAACGTCTCGAAGGTGCAGGCGACGAAATCGTCCGACAAGCACGAGCAGAAACACTCGACGGAATCCAGTATCACCGAACATGCCGGGAACAGAGAGTGCTCGCATGATATGGACGATGACAATATGAGCATCCCTCCTGACCCGCCCGAAGCTTGCGGAAATATAACAGAGGAGACCGCGTGCGATACGGCAGGGGAAAGTGTTCATCCAACGACCTCGGAGGACGAGGTAAACCTGCGAGTCAGTCGTGCTCCGGAACTCGAGGCGAACGCCGTTCGTGAGGCCGAGTACTCGAGACTTTTGTGCACGGATTCGGACTCAAACGAGCCGACAGATCGAGGCCCGTTCAAGCTGAGCCCGATTAAACCTAGTTTCGAACCCATTCCCGCCAGTGATACGGACACGGGTAATCATAAGGGCGTCGGGAAGACGTGCTCCATCGACGACACCCTCAGCCTTCACGATGAGCACAACAACGGCTCTCTGCGTCGATTCAAGATTGTCGAACTCAGAGCCAACGGCAGCTCGACGGTCTCCAGCGACAACAAAAACGATGTTCCAAAACACACGGTGCTAGAGTCACTGCGGAGACGTCTGCTGGTCAGAACTAGGAACAGCCGCAAGCGGAAACCCGCACCGCCCCGGCAGGACGGGGCGAAGACAGTGGATTTTCAGAGCGCGGAGAGACAGAAGAGAAAGCTCGCCAAAGCCCGCGAGAGACGGGCAACGGTCGTCCTCGGGCTGGTGATGGCGGCGTTCATCTTGTGCTGGCTCCCGTTCTTCGGACTGTACCTGGCCTCGGCTTTCTGCCCTGGATGCATCCCGGAGATGGTCTTCACGGTCTTCTTCTGGATCGGCTACTGCAACTCGGCCCTGAATCCCATCATCTACACGGTTTTTAACCGAGACTTTAAGAGGGCTTTCCAAAAGATTCTGTTCGGTCGTAAACGCGGTCGCCGTTGACACAACAATGTTTCTTAGACACCTTCTGTATTGTTTTAATTGTGTACAAAATGTCCCTGTATTCAAGCTCACTTCTCGCACCCGCGCCTGCACCATTCGTCTCTTCTTACCTGTTCACTTTTACATTGTCTATAGGTCAGTGTTTATTACACGATATTTCATTCACAAAACGCTGCTGAAAAACCATTGTATTTATATTTGCACTCATCCCCACACACGCTCCGACATCCCACCAGTCCCTCTCCGGTCACACATTTCGAACACAATCCCATTCTGTTCCTGTTATGATAACGCTTACAAGGAAATAGGTTTAAAGAAATGCTTATTTATTCCCAATAGCTCAATGAAGCAGGAAAGCAGATACTGCGCCAAAAAAAAAAAACCCACTGATTTGACTCTTAATTTCGTCAGACTTCCACGTCCTAACTAGCAACAATCAATACAAAATAAATATCTCTCGGTTGTGAACACTTTAATGTATGGGGGGGGGGGGGGAAATCAATGTTATGCAGAGCCAAAATAATTATTTGTAGATGTCTTTATTTCACTAACAAACTTTAGCCGCTGGTTTGATTTCGTCCCCGATAATTATAACGTGAATTTGATAGGCTTTTGTAAATGAATTTGATAGACTTTTGTAAATGCCACCCCTTCATAAAGAATAATTAGATGTACATCAAATGTTCTTAATCTATTGCCCTCGGGCGTCTTGGGGCGCCTTCGATAGGTTTTTAGAGAATTCTGGACAACGAAGTAATGAAGCAATGTGACAAATGTTAAGAAAGTTAAGAACAAAATTTTTAAAGCATCAGCATCTGTGACTTAATCACGTTATGCACGTTGCCCAACAATCAGTTCAAAGAACCCTTGGCACGTGTGTCAAATAAAAATAAGGTACTAGTCATTTGTTTCCGTATTTAGCTCAAGTAATCCCTGTTATATAAAAATAATAACCCTTACCACTAACCCCTCCCCCCCCCACCCATACACCCACCCCAAACCCAAAATAAGGACAGGGGGAAAAATCTATTTAAAAAAAAAAAAAAAAAACCTGTGTTATGATTGTTTTTTTTTTCCAATTTATCTTTTTTTTTTTTTTTTTTTTTTTATTTTGGAGGGGAGGCTCGGGTACCACGAGATTTCGGTAATCAATGTCCTAATTCAGTATCACGGGATGGCTCTCTTGGCTCATTCGTTCTTTTCATTTTTTATCACCTGTGGTTCGTTTTCTCGTTTAACACATGCCAATTAATTTAAATTGCACAGATCATGAGGGTTCTCTTATTTCATTTTTTTTGTAACACAAATATGCGGTAAAGACGTGGCTAACGACATTAGACCAAAAAAAATAATGGTTTGGCTCTACACTTTAGTGGAGGTGCATCGAAAATATACATGTTTTAAAAATGATCCATGGCCTCCATTCTCTCCGAGATGCACAAACTTTAAAATGTTCAATTCTTGATGAGTTCTGCCGAAGTTGAGATACACAAAACCTTAATAGACTAAAAAGTTTGACGGGTTCTGTCGAAGGTTAGACACACAAAACCTTAATAGAGTAAAAAGTTTGACGGATTCTGCCGAAGGTTAGACACACAAAACCTTAATAGAGTAAAAAGTTTGACGGATTCTGCCGAAGGTTAGACACACAAAACCTTAACAGACTAAAAAGTTTGACGGGTTCTGCCGAAGGTTAGACACACAAAACCTTAATAGACTAAAAAGTTTGACGGGTTCTGCCGAAGGTTAGACACACAAAACCTTAATAGACTAAAAAGTTTGACGGGTTCTGCCGAAGGTTAGACACACAAAACCTCAACAGACTAAAAAGTTTGACGGGTTCTGCCGAAGGTTAGACACACAAAACCTTAATAGACTAAAATGTTTGACGGGTTCTGCCGAAGGTTAGATACATGACAAGTCTCATCGACTGAAACGTTAGACGGTCTATTTTCTACTCCAGTGATCGGTGATTAGAGCACAGCGCCCATTCCCACACATAAACGCTAAACCGCGCGGGTGCTAAGAAATCCATCATTTTATTGCCACCCGTAGCGTGAGTGCCCGGCCCGACTGCCCTGTCGGACCCGACTGCCCCGTCGAACCGTCTCCCTTGGCCCTTAAACGTGGACGGCCGGGGTTAAACTGATCAACGTTTATGTTCAGTCATAAATTTCCATAGTCTGGTCCTATCCCTCACGTCCTTCCTCCTCCCTCCCCCCCCCCCCACCCAAACCGGACACCGAAGATGCCGCAGTGACGTGAACACCACCGAAGGTGGGAGTAGTCCCGTTAGAATAGTCAACAAGGTTAAGGTCTCGAGAATTTCGGAGGAGATGCCCTTGGTAGCTTACGGATTAGTGATTAGAAACAAAGCTAGTCAAGCTAACTATCCCTCCCCCCCCCCAAACTCTTTTCTCCTCTGTTCGTTATAGTCTTGTAGTTCAAATCCCCTAGGTGGGCTCTTGCTGCTAATGAAAATTGATATTTATTGCTTTGAGTGGGTTTTTTTTTCGTTTTTGTGCTCCCGTGTCCACCTCGCCAAGGGAACACTACAATCGTTGGGTGTCGAGGGAATAGCTTCATTGTAGGACAGTGGTTCTGACGTTAAGAGAGAAAGATGGATTTCATTCGAGAAATCCCTTGAGGTAAACAACCCGGGGGGGGGGGGGCTCACCGTGACATTATGCCATTTTCTATTTGTTTTTTGTTTTGTTTATTTTTTTTTGTTTGGGTTTTTTTTGTTTTGTTTTTTTGTTTGTTTGTTTGTTTTTACGTCAGGTCTATGAATATTTAAAGTGTTAAGCAAAATGCATGGTGGAACAGAAGCATTATAACAGGTACATTTACTGATTCATCCTTTCGGCTATGATAAATGTTTGAATGTTTTATTGATATTTGTTACCTTCTTCATGCAATCTCCCACCCAAACCTTGCAATAAAAAAATCGACTAGATCTTGTCTTGAATTTGTTTCGTCCAAAGAACAATTTGAAGTTGAAACCACAACAACGTCCACGCCATGAAGGACCGGTTACAACCAATACGCGGTTAGGCGTTTTCGTCCTCTAATGTTCAAAGTCAGTCCCTGCTCGTAGGTTTGTATGGTTACCGGAAATTTGATCGAAAGAAATTTCGTCAACGGTAAATTGATCGACGGTAATTTGATCGAACGGACATTTGGTCGAATCTTTTTTTCCGTTCGCACGTTGAAATTTTCGTCAAATTTCTTTTTGAACGCACTATACTAATTAGTAAAACAAAATAATTCGTTCAAAAAGAAATTTGATGCAAAATTGTTACGTAAAAATTGAAAAGAAGATTCGACCAAACTTCCGTTCGATCATATTACCGTCGACCAATTTACCGTCGACGAAATTTCTTTCGATCAAAATTCCGGATACGAGGCTATATATCTTATCAGTTGTTGTTTTTTTATTATTGCTATTGTTGATATTTTTCTTCATGTTAACGCATCACTCGATGGTCAAATTGTGTGTCTCCTAAGGATTACAAAGAAATGTGCACTTACTATTCCATCATAACTTGATCACTACATGCACCGCCATGTTTCATTGTATTAAACCCATGATAATAAAAAAAAAATATTATGCTCTGTTTGAATTGCCTTTTGTTTTGACATGCATTTATAGCGTCTGCAGTTAGCCCCCTCTCACCAACTTCAGTGGATCTGGTAGCCTCTGTTTTAAGGTATTTACTGTAACCATGTTATAAGCTGTCTCGACGTGGAGCGATTGCTTTAACTTTAACAGGTTTATGAGCCTAGACAGATTTATAAGATTACCACACACAAGAAACGTGGCCAACCTTATTGTTTGACCCCCTTGAGATCTGTAAAACTGAGCCGTTTTACTGACATTCCCAACGGCAGCATTTCATTCTTTCACTCTATCATTTAAAGAGACCAGACGTTTGTTATACAGCGTCCCGCCTTTAATCCCGTTATGTCAAAACCGCTGACACGAAACTCTAGTGCTCGTCAAGTGTTTCAAATGATGCAAGTCGCCCTCGATTCAATTTGCGTCAAGTCCGTGATTGAAAGCTTGCACTGGGTTATACCATCAATGTGATGTCCTTTTTTCCTCGGTAACATGTTAGGTGTTAAATCTGGAACGTGCCATATTTTCTCCACAGAGTTGTTTTTTACACCCCCCCCCCACCCCGGGGATATGACATAGTAATTTTTTTTTTGCGTGAAATTGACATGAGGATTATTGATATTTCTACCAAACATTGGTACCGCTCGGCCACTTGATGTCTAGTGTGTTACATCTGGAACGTGCCATATTTTCTCCACAGAGTTGTTTTTTACACCCCCCCCCCACCCCGGGGATATGACATAGTAATTTTTTTTTGCGTGAAATTGACATGAGGATTATTGATATTTCTACCAAACATTGGTACCGCTCGGCCACTTGATGTCTAGCAATTATTGTGTGTTCATTCTTGATCTCGACAATTTAATGTCAGAATTAAATCGGGAACGTTCACCAAACAGATTGTGTGTTACTTCCAGGTAAAGAAAGATAAATGTGCAATCAGGGTAGACCGGAACGTATGTCTCAATAAGTTGATATCGCTAGAACAGTGGTTCTTAACCTGGGTTCGCTCGAACCCCAGGGGCTCGGTGAGTCAGTTTCAGGGGTTCGGCGGAGGTCCAAAAGAAAAATCAGGGAAAAAAAATCGTATTTTATTTTTCCTATTTAGAAGGGTTCGGTGAATGCTCATATGAAACTGGTGGGGTTCGGTACCTCCAAAAAGGTTAAGAACCACTGCTCTAGAGCTATCATTAGATGTAACTGACAGAAATTGTTTTATTTCCATTGAAGTTTTTTACGGAAAAAAAAAATCATTTCAATGTAAGATTATGACACTTCTTCTTCTTCTATATCTTAAGGGCCCACGATCAATTTATTGATCATTTTGGCTCCTATGCATGTAGATGGGATTTGCAATGTTTCTGTTACTGGTGTTGATGAG